GGGGGGCGGAGGGGCTCTTTATACTCACCCACCGACTGATTTTCCTTTCTCTGCTATTGGTTACCAACATGGGCGTCACTTTCATGCGTTCTTGCAAGATCAAGGTGCCTGTCTTGGCAAATATGTTCTGCGGGAAACCGAGAGTTAAGCAAAGGCCACCGTGATGACTGGGAATCCCCAAAACACACCTGTATTATCTGATCCAGCTTCTTGGTCGACTCCTTGCTGGGCCTTTCCACCCCATGGTCTTCGCCAGGTCTCATTGTATTCGCGGTATCGTGGGAGGCTGTCGCCTCCGACCCCGTCCTAGAATGAGCGCCAGGGCGTACATTTTCTCTCGGGTTGTTCGATCGCAAAGGGTTTGTGGTGGACGAGGAGGCAGGGGACGAGGCGCGAGGCCCTGGGCGGGGTGTCTGATGCATTTCGGAGGCTCCTCGACCGCCTCGAGGATAAGGTTTGTTTCGTCAACGAGGGGAGGCTTCGAAACGGGCTCTATCGAGAGCGAAGTATCGCGTGGTGGCAGGAGCAGAGCGGACCGGCCAAAGAATGGTGCAGCAGGGCCGGCGCTCGATCGATTCTAGGAGATGCTGATTCGATTACACCAAACATCGGTATCCATTGTTCCCAACCTCGGGTGTCAGGCAGACTCTCAGTGGCTCGCAGCCGCTAGATACAAGCAGGGCACTGCAAGCTCACTGCTTCCGTGCTTGGGGATGGGGAATGGAAGACACCGGGGATGTGTGTAGGCAGACAGACGGGCCAGGCAGGTAGGTAGCCAGCCGGGTCCAGGTCCAGTATGGCGATGGGTCGTCAAGTCGCGGCTCTGCAACTGGGGCACGGATAGGTGCAGAAAGCTAGGCGGGATGTTTAAAAAACAACAGGGGGATGGCGCATGGGGGAGAGACAAGTCGACAGTCATGCACGCAGGCTCACACACACAGACACACTCGCACTCACAGACAGAGGGACAGAGACACAGCCAGGTCGGGAGGCTCTCTTGTTGACGCAGTCCCAATCCCGTGATGTCGAATGCTCAGCGCCAGCACGCAGCTAGCTAGTATCCGTCATCGGTCCGCCGAGCTGCGAGTGGAGCGGTGCGATAGATAACGACCGGGGTCTTTTGCGTGACGAAGCGCGAGCTTACCCCAGAACCGTCCCTAATGACGTGACGTGTGGCATGTGCCAATTGCCCAGCGATAAGAAGAGACGACGGCACGCAGAGGGACTGCACATAGATGTAGATGCCCCCGAGACACAAGAGACAAGACAATGAGGCAGGCCTATGCTGCGCTGGCTAGTTGCAGTTCTTTCATTGCAGAAAGTCAATCAAGCAGTGTCTTTCCCCCTTTCTGCCGGCCGGGTTCTCTCGCACGCCAGAAGACGTCGGTGTGCCTTGACTGCCCTGACTGGGCGGCTTTGCTTTTTTGGGGGGTGATTTCGGGGGTCTCTTGTGACCCATGCATGAGAAGCGGTGGATCGAGTTGAGCTGTCGTCCAGGTTGCCGGGCATCCCATTGGCCGGCGGCACACTGACTCAGATCCCGAGGGCGCTAGCGATTCGACACTGGGTGACTGGTTGGCTGCAGAGTGCGAGCAACAGCAGTAACTCCAGTTCCACCGACACCTGGGCTGTGTCCATACGTACTTGAGGTGGTGTACTGCCACACAGAGGCAGAGATAACGCATCCAACGATCTGATAGGGCTGAGGAATGCGCTGTGTCTTGATGCTGCTGCTGCTAACTTGGAGCATTGCGCTCCTGGTGTTATCCGCCATGCGGCTGTGATATAGGCATTCCGATCCAGGGCAGTCTAAGCAGACCCAACCACTAGGTGCCTATATCCTTACTTATTAGTTAACTTGGGACTTCCCAGGACCGCGCACAGTCTACATACAATTGTGTCAAGGAGTTGATTGTCTCGGTCTGCTAACTTAGGCACCTGTGGAAGGTCTATTCCCCGCACGGCAATAACAGAATTAAGGCTCCTCGGCGTATCTGGCATGCGTGGCTTTCAGATGACTCTTACCTTTGAACCTCTCTGCTTTCACCGCTTCTAAAGTTAACCCCGTTTTTTGTTCCTTACGTAGTACAGGTCAATATAGGAAGAATTTTCGGATTGACTCATGGAGTAGCGGTTATTCAGAGCTCGAGGTCACCCGTGGACGTCGATCCTGTGACACGGGCACAAGGCTTGGGAGATACCTGTGCCACACTTGCAGGCTACACTTATTGTTAAACCCAACCCTTGCCCCCGAGTCGCAAATATCTCAATGATCAACCAACTCAGGTCACCATTGATTGACTGGCCCATCCTAATTGTTCCTTTTACGATGTTTGGCTAGAGTTCAAAGTCAGCGTACGAGCAGGGGAATCCCCTGTATCCCTGAAGAGCCCCGTGAACTACTGGACCTATTGTCTGTTTTTGTATTCAATAGCACAAGCAGGAGCCTGGCCGTCTTGCGTTAAGAGAATCGAATACCATTACACTTGCCATATTTCCCGTAGAGGTACTCCAGTCCAGTCTTATTTCCTCATCTCTTCGCCGTCTTCATACTGAAAGAATTCCATTGAAAATCCTCATGAATCACGAGCATGGATGCGTGCGGGGAACACATGGTTTCGACCCTTTTGGGGAATCCGGGGGAACTCTGACCTATTGAGGAGCGGGGACTCACAGAACTACCACCCAGCAGGGTTGTGGAAATCAAGGCTGGTGCTTTCACCGGGAGGGATCGTGACCACAGACACGGTCAAGTGCGCTCATCTGCTTATTTTTCTCCAAGTTCGATGTAACGTTTTTCTCCTGATGCCAGGGCGGCCATGGAGACAGAGCGCAAGGCCCCTGTGAGGCGTTCCCCGCATCGTTGATCTCCCTCACGACACGCTAGCTTCCCGACTGCTTTCCAACGCGCAGCAAGAAAACGTCATATGCTCCCATACGCCTGCAGCTTTCAAGCTGCACAGCATGCGCTGGAAATTACTCGTGGGTCTGCTCTCCGCTCGTTTTTACCGTAGTATTTGGGGTCCGGGGTCATCAGGAGGGGCTAAGCACGGTGAGCACCAAATATTTCCATTATATAATTAGATAGCTCAGCCCGGCATCAGCGGTAACCTCCAGAGCAGAGAGTTATTTCTTCAGCGATGTTGACTTCTTACTGCTCTAGACTGACTACAAATTCGCAGTCCAGCCGCTCTTTGAATCCCGATCGAAGGCACTAGCTGTGGTGTATTACACGCGAACATTGCTTCACTACCGGAGCAAGCATAGTCACCACAGGCTCGTGCTGTACGAAGTTGAATTGTTCTACGTCGTTACACTAACATCGAGATTTGTTCGGTGGAAAAGAGACACCGCCATTAAATCCCTCCTCTCTTTTCTGAGGAATCAACAAAAACTACAAGATGTACAGCTTGCTGCTAGCAGTCGGCTTCCTACTTGGTGGCCCGCTGTACGTGTCGGCGCAATGCCCTGACTACGCGGACTACTCGACACAGAAACACGAGCCCTTTTCCGAGGGAAAGTACTCGCTTTCTTACCAAAGACCCAGCCCATCATGCCGAACATTTAATTCTTCCGACGTAGAGCAGACCATACAGGAGATGAGAGACATAATCAAGGACCCGGACCTCTACCGTTTATTCGAAAATACGTTCCCAAATACTCTTGACACGACCATCTCGTGGAAGGGATTTGCCAGTGGAAATGCAGAGGAAGAGGTAGATGGCTGTAGTATGTATTATGCATTAAGTTCACCAAGACTAATACAGTTAACAGCTCACCTTCATCACCACGGGAGATATTGTAGCCATGTGGCTGCGCGATAGCGCCAATCAGATGCGCAGCTACAAGCCCTTGCTGGAGGCGAATAGCTCTACTGATTCGCTAGCGTCTCTATTCCGAGGGGCTATCAACCTCCAGGCTCGGTATCTTCGTAAGTAATTACTCTCAATCCTTGAGCAAACATACCACTCCCAGACCACTTCCTGCTGGACTTTTACTTTGCGTTCCACCTACCTATCATTGACGCTTGTCTCTGCAGTTACAAGTCCACACTGCAACGCGTTCCAGGCTCCCGTAGAGTCGGGGAAACCACCGGAAGACAACAGTGCAGCAGAGACGGACACAGTCGTGCCCAGCTACGATAAGAATTTCGTGTTTGAATGCAAGTATGAGCTTGATAGCTTGTCGGCCTTTCTCCAGCTCTCTTACGACTACTATGACAAAACCCAGGATAGTGATTTCTTCGGAAAGTTCCAGTGGGTGAAGGCAATAGAGACGGTTGTTACCACAGCGGAACAACTCCTCGTCGGCACGTATGCCGATGATGGTCATGTCAACGATTCTCCCTACACTTTCCAACGGACCACGACTTCCGCCTCTGAGACATTGCTCAATAAGGGGGCTGGGTCGCCCGTTAAAGGGGGTACCGGCCTCGTCCGCAGTGCTTTCCGGCCGTCGGATGACTCGACGATTTTCCAGCTCTTCATTCCTGCCAACATGATGTTCTCCAGTTATCTTGGGAAATCTGCGGCTATCATGGAGAAACACGACAGCGACTTGGCACAGCGAATGAGCGACCTCTCGGCAAGCGTCCGCAATGGGATCGAGACGTACGGCAAGGTGCAACATCCTACCTTTGGGGAGATCTACGCGTACGAAATCGACGGCTTCGGATCGAGCAATCTGATGGACGATGCCAATGTTCCGAGTCTACTCAGCGCTCCAATCATCGATTATGTTGACGCCAGTGACAGCACTTACCAGAGCACGAGGAAATTCGTCCTAAGCACGTCCGATCCTTACTATATGCATGGTCCAGTTCTGAATGGGTGAGTACGCTTTGTTGTATCATCGAGTCTGTCACTTACAGAAACAGGACTGGCGGACCTCATGTTGGCCCTGGCAAGGCTTGGCCTATGTCTATCATCGTTTCGCTGCTGAGCTCAGATGACGACAATGAAATCATCTCAGGGCTGAGGCAAATAGTATCATCTACTAATGAGTTAGGTTTGATTCATGAGTCTGTTGATACCTTCAACGCAGCTCAATGGACTCGTCAATGGTTTTCTTGGGCAAATGGACTTTTCGGGCAGCTACTTCTCGATTTGAAGGACAGGAAACCGGGTATCCTGTCGACCAGCTTCCAGGCATAAGGTGAGGTTGATGAAGGAGTCTGGAAGTTGACGGTAGCTCTATAACGTTACGCAGACATAATTGTAATCAATCCAATCAATCACAATTCTATACGGACCTACATTAATTAGCCTACTCTTAATATGCAGGCTGCCATACAAAGAAGCTGATGACAGCCATTCACTTACTACGTGATTGAAGCAACCGGGTTGCTGTACATGGGGTTGATAAGGATAGGCATCCGCACCAGCTCGGGCGACCGGACGGCCAAGAGCGACGCCGTGAGGTAGCCCAGTGAGTGTCCGACCACGGTGGCTGCTATTTGTGCCGTTACACCTAGGTGCCGGAGCAATGCGGCGGTATCGTCGCTGGTCACCTATGGTCTCAGCTACTCCGATTTGGATTCATCTGGCACGGGGTAGGGGGGCGCTCTCTGGCGTCGAACGCAATGGTCTGGTAGTGCAAGGGGGGGGGGGGGAAGGGGGGGGGCGGT